AAAACCAATGCCTCCCACCTCTTAACTACTCTCCTCCTATGCCCTAGAATTCTCTTCCTCTCCTACTCAGGTTTCTTTTCCTCCTAAGCACTTTTCACGACATTATCTGTTTATGGCATATTCTCTGCTCAAATGTCACCTTCTCAGAGAGATCTGTCTCTTCTACATTAAAACCAATGCCTCCTATGCCCTAGAATTTTCTTCCTCTCCTACTCAGGTTTCTTTTTCTCCTAAGCACTTTTCACTACATTCTCTGTTTATTATTTGTCTCCCTGCCACTGGAGTATAAGGTCCAGCAGAGTCTGCTCTGTTGCACGTAGAATGGTGACTGGAACATGGTAGCACACTGTAAATATTTGTTGGATAGAAAACCAATGATCAGGGAAAAAAAAAAATCAATGGAAAGATACAAGTGTAGGGTCAGCACGGAGATCTGGGAAACCTGGGTTTGACTCTCTGACTCCACAAAGACTTTCCCAAACACTGTACATTCTGCTTCTCTAGACCTCTCTGTTCCATTTCCCATCCCTTAGAGAAAAAGCAGGGACTGACGAAGCCACTACACAGGGTAGCAATGAGACTCGAAGTGAGGCAGGCAAGGAGGCAGGGAAAATGTAGCCCAACTCCTGCCCATCCATAGTGAGCTTTGGTTGTCTGCACAGAAAGGAAAAGAGCCAAGTAAATCCTGCAGGATGTCATTAGACAACATTAGAGAGTCAGTCATAAAATGAAAAAAGAGCCTGCTGGCTCAGCTGATAAGACACTGAGATTCTTAATCATTTGTGCTGGGCACTGGGCACAATGTTTAGTGTTGGAAAGAAGCCATGGTTTAATGTTTAAGATTCCAGACTTTGCAGAAAGAATGGCTGAGTTCAAACCCTGGTTCTGCCACTCACCAGTTATGTGACTGTGGGCAAACTGCCTATTTAATCTAGGCCTATTAAATAGGTATAATCACGTCAATCTCATAGGAATGTTGGAAGGATAGAGAGAAATGTGATAGGCCCAGAACTGGGCACAGAGGAAGGGTTCTGAAAGAAAGCTACTGTTAACATTACTAAAAATTATTCTCTACCCACTATGACAAGTGCAAGGGAAAACCAATATTGTCAAGAGTAGAAAAGTTAATATACAGAAAACTCTCAATTTTTCATGATCTACTAACATAGATCTCATTATATAAACTCTCTTAACTACACCATGCAATGGCAATGAGAGCAAAACCATCTATAAACTCTGACTTTAAAAAATCAGTTTAGACCAGCCATAGTGGCGCAATGATAATCCAACACTCTGTGATCCTGAAGTCACACGGGAAGGTTCCAGGTTCATGTCCCTAGGTCTCCCTCATTTCCCTGTACACACTGGGTCCATATATGCAGATAGATAAATAAATAAAAAGAATGTGAAAAACTACTTCCCAAATGAATTAATTAAGATGGGAAAGCTACATGATACAATGTTATTATATATTTCCAAAAACCAAATCTGCCTTCAAGCTAACAGTATTAATCAATAACAAAAACTTGATACAAGCATACATATTCTGAAATATGTTTTAGTTCATATGAATTAAAACTTCAGTAGTTATTTGATGCCCTTTTTGTAACAGAATATAAAACTAAAATCTAAAAATTATTAGAAAAAAGATTCTCAGAAAATAGATACTTTTAAAAACACTGTTTCCGGACCAGCAGTTAACGTAATGGCTATGTCACTGGACTCCCATGAGTCGACCACGGTTCGAGTCCCGGACCTGGTGGCGTAAACTCCCGCCAGGCAAGTGTGTGTGCATGCCAAAGATTCTGAAAGGAAAATGGAGAAGAAGGGACTGCGGTGTGGGAGTGATTTCTTGTTTTCTGTCTCTCTGTCTCTCTCTGTCGTTCTGGCGAGCGCATGCGCCCTATAGCAAAAAACTCGTAAAAAAAAATCAAAACACTGTTTCATCCTCCACATCTAAAAGGCTTTATATAAAATACTAGTGTCTGTTATTCACAAATAGCAGATGCTAATTACCGCACATGAACTGAAGTGACAGGAGAAACTCTCAATGCTATTACAGTCATGCATATGAGCACTGATTTAATCACCAGTCTTTACTAATTCCTTTTCATTTCAACCTTGTGAACAAGGGGGGAAAAAAAAGAAGGGGAAAGAAGGCCTGACACGCCTACTCTGTTCTATAGCATCTTACCCAGCCAAGAACAACAAAATACACAACATTCATAACTGTTTGAAAACTCTTAAAGTCCTAATAAGAAAATTAACTTCCTAACATATATAGGACATATATATTGGGGAACATATAATGATATACTATACATTACAGTACAATCCAGTGATTACATAAGCAAGTTCTGAGACAAACTGCCTGGTTTTGGAACCTACCTGAATTTACCAGTGACCTGGGCAAGTTACTTTACCTTCTGTACAATTTCCTCAATTCTATAATGGAGAAATACTATCTTTTTCATAGGGTTGTTATGACAGTTTAAGACATAAGGCATAGGAAAAAAATGTCTCACACATAGAATATACACTTACGTAACGTACATGTTGGCTGTCATTATTATAAAGGCAGTAGAAATAAATGGCTCAGTTGAAAAAACTTCCATTGTGAAATAGTTAAGCAGAGTTCCAAAATTATATGTGAAGCATTTATATCAACTACTAAAGTTGTCTGTTTAAATTCAGGCATTATATGAAGTATATAACATGATCTCGAATACAGTTTGGTGACTACATAGGTAGCCTCTTCATCCCTCTCCCTCCTACATCAAACATTCCCCCATTTCAGCTGAAGCCTCAGATTTTTATCTTTGGAGTTATTTTATTCATGATAAGGAAATCTGCACACTCGAGAGAGAAATGAGGCCTGAAGAAGGGAGCTGAGCATTCTTACCACGCTGCAATCTCCATCTCTAAGCCCTCCAGCTCCTTATGATCTTGGGCACATACATGTGCATGCCCGCCATGTTTCAGGTCATGCGAGCTGGGGACTCAAACCCACAGTCAGTAATGAGGCTTCCAGTAGTGCAGTTCTGTATGCTACTGAGTCCCACCACAGGCTGGGTCATAGAAGCCTAGACATCTTATCACTCAATCAATCCCATTCTGTGAGTTAATTTTCTTTTTTTTTTAAGGTTTTTGCCATAGGCATCATGCATTTGCCAGAGACAAAGACAGTGAAAGGGAGTGTAAAAAATCACTTCCCCCCAGGAGAGATGGCTATGCAACAATCCCTTCTCCTGGGATTTTTGGCATGCAAACATACGTGCTCAGCACAATTTTCAAGCCACTGGGGTCTAGGACAGGACTCGAACTGCCATCCACTATGTGGGAGTCCAGCATCGTAACCACCATACTAACCACCATGTTACCTGCTGGCCCCATGAGTTTAATCCTTAATGCTTAAAGATACACAAAAAGCAAAGTATCTCTAAGTTCAGGAAAGGAATCACTACTACAACAGTATAGCAGAATGCCTTTATTTTAGAGTAAGTAAAACTCTAAAATTCACAAAAGTGAATCAGGATGGACTGTGGGTCGGGATAGAAGGATGAAAGAAAAAAGAAAGAAAAGCAAAAGGGCAAACGGGAGGAATCGGAAACTTCAGAAAGCTGTGAAAATTTAATTCAGGATTACATTTCCTTTCTCCTCGCTATTAATTGTAAGGCCATTTCCCACACAGAATATGTAATCATAGTATGTAATCATTTATAAACAGTTCGATTTTTGTAAAATTCACTTCTGAAATTTCCAGCTCTAGGAACTTGTCACTTAAGAACAAAAAGGCACACACCGAATGAAGAAGTCATTCCCGTTATCTGTGGTTGATGTTCTTTTCCTGCTATCCACAAAGGACACTCTTGGGAGCTGTTCCTCCAGAGGCAATGAGAGACTCAGACCATCCACCTTCTCTTATCACTATCCTGGGGGGTTCACTCCAGAAGCCACTTAGGGGGCACCCTGCATTTTCAGCTCACCAGCCCTTCCTCTCATCCCTGCTAATAAATCTCCACTTACTGACTTGTTTGTAAAACAAACAAAACTTGTTCCTTATTACCCACCCCCCCACCGTCCACACCCCCCACCCTCCTCTCCCTCAAATGTTCTATACCCAGCTAGGGTGTGTCCTCAAAGCAGGGCCTCCAGTTTTCTGTCTTTTACTCCCCTTGGAGGCCTCTGGAGAAATCGCACCTTTGACTGCCGGTCCCCTAAATCTTGTCTATGATTCAAGCCAGGTTTTTAAAACGAATTTAATAGGGCCAGGTGTTATGCCCACACTCACTCAAGTTTATTGAACAAAGGTATGATAGAAGACGTTTACAATGTATTAATTATGGAGCAATTAAATTCCTTAATGAAAGAGCTGCATCTAGGCACAAACCCTGGAGTTTAATGACCCCCTCCTTTTTTTTAAAGAAGGGGGGGGTTTTCTCTCTTCCAAATCACAAATCTAAATTTCCACACACTAAAAAAAAAAAAAAGCCTCTCAGGATCATGAATTTGAAATACATATTGTGAATAACATTATTTATATACGATTGCATAGAAACAAAACTGGAAGTTCATAAACTGCAATATAGCGTCAATGGGAACCCACATGATAGTCAAATAAATATATCTATTTTTTCAACCACACCCTCCTTGGGTGGCTTCCGAGGCTCGTTCGGGCCAAACAGCGTCACGCCGTCCAGCAGCTTATTGGGTGGGGGTCCAGGCCGTGACCCGGAAGTCCAACGGGAAAGAACGCTGCGTCGCGGTCGCCCCCCAGGCAGGCTGGCGCTCGGGAGCCCCCAGGGCGCCCCTCCCCGGGCCCGCCCTGCCCTGCCCTGCCCTGCCCAGCCCTCCCCAGCCCTGCCCAGCATTCCCGCAGGCCGTGGCCCGGCCTCACCCGACCCCGACACCGCCCGGCAGACCCTGCGAGCGACCACGCGAGGACCCGGCCCAGGCGAGCAAGGGCGGGGCGATCAGGCCCACACGGGCCCCAGACTCACCATGGCCGAAGAGCAGCGAGCGCGCCCACAGCCCGGAGTCACACGGCGCCGGCGACGCCCGTTGTCCTGGTGACGCCAGCCGGGCGCCCCGCCCCGTTCCCTAGGTGGGCTCGGTGATGGTCTCCCGAGGTGGGCTCGGTGATGGTCATTGGCTGGCGGAGAGCACGTGACGCTCAGGGGCGGCGCCCTTTGGACCGCCCACCGTCGCCCGGGCTCTTGGGCGGGGCGTCCTTGGCTCTCTTACTTTGCATCTGGTCTACCCTGAGCTTGGTCACCTTGAGGCATCCACCTGACAGGTCTGCAAGCTGCTGATCACCCAACTAAGGCCCACTTCGCTGAAAGGGACCTTCATGGATTTTCTTTATTTAAAGAATAGATGACATGGGAAATACATGATTATTGAAGACTTTTCAAATGATCAAAAACAATACAACCACTTCTCAACAACCAACCTGTTGCTACATATGACCAGTTCTCTGCATTGTCTACTTCCTGCAGTCTAGGACTCACTACACAAAGCGTTTGAAATCATGCAAGACTACCTATTTCATCTATAGTAACCAAGTTACATTTCCTTTAGACCTTTTCATTTATCAGAATAAATTAAAATGATTACACCACATGTATATTATTGTATTGTGGTGTGTCTTGTCGTTTTCTTACGCTTATGTTTTTTGTATAGATGAAATGACATTCTAGCGTGGTGTCCCATGATAACTATTGAAAAATACATCCCTTATGGCACCATGACACTACAAGACATCCACCTTTAATCTTCTCACTTATCGACCAATTTGCCTAGCGATCTAGTTGCAGGAACAGAGTACAGTTAAGTGTGCTTTAACTAAAAAGAGTAAAACCACACTATCCTCAACACCTGAGGCAGCCATTGCTCATATTCCAGTCAACCTGCCTCCAAACTTCCAACAAAATATGTAATATTGGCATTACTTAAAATGGAGGCAAGGCATATGTACTATTTTATTTTTACTTTTTTTTTTAGTTGCCTAAGGGCACTTGTGCTCTGCATAGGGAGACAGAGAAAAAGAGAGGGAGGAGAGAGAGAAAGCATCCCCAATGGAGTATGGTCACAATGTAGTTCTTTCTCCTCCATTTCTTTGTCCCCTCAGGATTTTAGGAATGTGTACACACACTCATGCTCAGCATGCTTTTCAAGCTGCCAGGGCCAAGATTGGAACCACAGTAGTCATGTGACATCTGGCTTCTCCTAACCTCTAGGTTATAGGGCTGGCCCCACACTTTTATAATCTACTTTTCTAAATGAAAAAAAAAAATTTTACATGCAGATTTATAAAATCATATTGTAAGTATGCTCTCCAATTTATAGGTCAACTGATAATTTGTTAGACGTTTTTAATATGGTTGAAGGGAATTTTAATATCCTTGAATTTATCCTATTAACTCTATGAAAAAGAAATACATTAAACAGATGACCTGACATCTCTCCTCGAAAGTCCAGCAGGCATCAAAATGTTAATGTGGCCTAAATAAACCTCTTGGTTCAACTTCCTTACTTTAGTCTTCCGCTTTCCAGCAAATGTTTCTACTATCCCATGGCTGTTAGGAATAACACCTAGGAATTACCCTTGATTTCTGTCTTTACCTCACACCTTATTTTCTTAACAAATACTCCTGATTCTACCCAAAAGAAATCCTGAGTCTATCCATTTCTTCTTCTTTTTTCGTTTAACCTATCTATTTCTTACCATCCCTATCTCACAGCCACTGTTATCTTTTACTTGAATGTATCTCCATGTGCTACCGTGTGAATGTTTGGGTCCTTTCCAAAATTCATTCTGAAACCTAATCCCGAGTGCAATAGTAGAGCCACTCTTCACTTAATGACCTACCTGTTTAATGACCACTCAGATTCTCCAGCACCGGGAATCCCCTTTTTCAGTCTTTGTCTCATTCTCACAGTTGATTAATAGTCACTACACCAGGGACCAGCAGATGGCATAATGGTTACTTTACTGGACTCCCGCATGGTTGACCACAGTTCATGTCTTGGACCTGGTGGCTTAAAACTCACTCCAGGTGTGCCCGCGCATTCCTAAAATCCCAAGAAGAGAATGGAGGAGAAGGGATTGCTGCATGGCCATCTCCACCCCCACCCCCCCACCCCCAGGGGCTGGGTAGTTCTCACTTTTTGTCTCTTTGGCAAGTGCACATGCCCTACAGCAAAAATTTCTCTCTCAAAAAATAAACAAATAAAATATTCACTACAGGGAATTTTGAGGATATTAAAATTCCCTTCAACCATATTAAAAACATCTAACAAATTATCAGTAGGTTTGCAATCATTTTGTTTATAAATTTGTACTTTATTGTGTACCTGTAGTCATATTCGGAATAAATATGAACTATTTTCCTGGATGTATATTATTGTGTTGTGGTGTGTCTTGTCACTTTCTAGTGCTTATCTAATGTATGCTTTTTGTATGGATAGAGTTACATTATTCTAGGGGCTAGTAGGTGGTGTGGTGGTTAAGGCACTGGACTCCCACATGGCCACCCTTGTTTCAAATCCCAGAAATGGGGGCTTGTTTCTCACTCTCCATCCCCCTCCTGGTCAAATTGAATAATAATGATAATAAGTAAAATAATTATTATTTTGAAAAGAATTATATTATTCTAATGTGGGGTCATATGATGTCTATTGAAAGATACATCTATTACAGTCTCACAATACACCCAAGATACTGGTCTTTCAATTCTTCACTTATTGACCAATTTTTTTAATAATCTGTAGGAATGGCACTCAGTGGTTAAATAAGGAGTGCCTGTAGTAAGAGATATGGCCTTTAGGAGCTGATCAGCTTGTGAGGGCTCCACCCTTGTGGGTGAGATTAATGTCTATATAAAAAGCTCTTAAAGCAGTGAGCTCAGTTCCTTTTTGTCTTTCTACTCCTTCTGTAACTGTAGACACAGTGATTGATCATCACTTACAGAGGATGCAGAAACAAGGTTCCATATTGAAAGTGGAGAGCAACCTTTACCAGACTCTCCAAACCTGCTGGCACCTAGATCTTGGACTTCCCAACCTCCAGAACTGTAAAAGATAAATGTTTGTTGTTTATTAATTACTCAGCCTATGTTATTTTGTTAAATGACAGACTACCTACAACACCATGCCAGCTGTCTTACCTCCTACAGTCTATACAACAGCAGTGTTTTGGTGGCATTTAGGAAAAGCACACCCTTCCCTTGAGGGAAGAGCTCACGTGATGGGATCCTTGCCTACTGCACTAACCTCAACTCCTTCCATTCTTCTCTGATTCACACAACACTAGTGATACTGTATTTCCCGAGGTTCCTAAAACATGCCAAATACCTTCCTCAGGTTATCGCTTATACTATGTTCTCAAAAAGGAAAAAAAAAACAAAAGTCAATCTCAGGTGTCCCCCATAATCATGTATCCACTGTCCACAGCCAGTGGACCTGAGCAGAGAGCGAGGCATGTAAGCAAGGTCTGGGCCATGGTGAAGATGCCCCAGGTTCTCTTCCTGAGTCCATGACTGAGCAGAACTGCACACAGTCTCTTACCTATTTCTCTCAGCTGAGAGCAGAGAGAAGCCCTCATGCAAATCATCCCCCTTCTCCTGGGGTCCTGGGCCTATAGCTGGTGAAGGCTGAGTGTAGGAGGGGCTGAGGAGCCTCTCCTCTCTATAAAGTTGAGGGGTCTCAGGGAGCACAGAGCAGAGTGCACAGGACATGGCTCCAGGGCCTGGTTTCCCAGCTGAGATCCCTTCATGGACCCTCAAGGACAGGCCATAGTGACCCGCCTCCTGTCTCAGAGCTCAAGTCCATCCCTGAGTGAGAGATGAACATTCTCTCAACAACTGCTTTCTTAATTTGTAATGTTCTTCTTCCATAACTTCGCACAGCACATTCCTTCATTTGATTCATGTCAATTATCTCCTTAAATGCCATCTTCACAGAAGCCTTTGTTGACTGTTCAGTCTAAATTGTCTCACTTCAGTCAGTCTCTCTTCTAACCGTCTTGTTTTAAAAATATTTAACACTCCCTGAAATTATTTTTAATTGTCGTTTATTAATTACTGCCTATCTCTCCACCCTGAAATCTAGAGTCTATGTTGGTTTTTGTTTTTTTTTTGAGAGGTTTTCGCTATAGGGCGCGTGCGCTCGCCAGACAGACAGAGAGAGACATAGAGACAGAAAGCGAGAAATCATCCCCCAGGGGGGATGGTCATGCCGCAACCCTTCTCCTCCATTCTCCTCTCAGGATCTTGGGCATGCACGCACATGCACCTGGCGTGAGATTTAAGCCACCGGGTCCAGGACGCGAACTGCGGTCAACTACGTGGGATTCCAGCGACATAGCCATTATGCTAACTGCTGGTTCCCTAGAGTCTATGCTGTTTTATAGCCGAAAGTTTAAAAGGTTTCCAGCTTGGGGCCAGCAGGTGGTGTGGTGGTTAACGACAGGCTGAACTCCCACATGGCTAATGGCTTGCTTTCTCTCTCTCTCTCTCTCTCTGTCTCTCTCTCTCTCTGGTCATGGCTAATGATAGTCTGAGGCCCAGGCCTGGTGGCCTGCTTTCTCACTTTTCCTCTTTCTCTTTCTCTCTCTGGTGAGCATACGTGCCCTGTAGCAAAGTAAAAAAAAAAAAAAATAATGATGATAAATAAAATGAAAAAAAAAAAGATTCTTAAAAAAAGAAACACACAGTTTCTGGCTTATTGTAAATGTCAAATAAATACTTATGATTGAACAAATGAATGAACATCTATCCTAGGACTAAAATGTCAGTTTGAAGATACAGATAAGAACATGACCTGTCAAAGGAGAGAGTGTGATAGAAGAAATGTTGTAATTACTGATAGCCTTTAATTTTATATTTTCAATTATGAAAGATAAGTAAAAGTAATAGTATTCATGGACAGATTATAAAGAGTGAACACCTATGTAGACACTCCCTAGTGCAAGAAGTAGAATATTACCAGCAACCCAGAAGATCCTCATGTGTACTTTCTCCTTTTCTTTGACAATAGGGTGTATGTGCATGCCAGAGAGAGACAGAGAGACAGAGACCGAGGGATAGGAGAA